AACACTAGCAAGCGTAATCGTGAGTCACTTTTTCGGAAGCAATTTTAACGTCTTCTTTTCTCTGTACATTTCGTGAAACATGATATGGATGATTTTTACTTTTATTCCTGCCAAGTTCGTACGTATAACCGGAAAAATCAAAGACTAATATCTTATTCTGATTATATTCCATCGGTCATACGCCTCGTTCCTCATGGACCTGATGTGCCAATGCCTTTGCCTCCAACAGACTTGTCAATCAGCTCTTCAGAGTCTTCAAATTCAAGCTCAAACTAACAAATAAAAAAATTTGGTGCCTATAGAACAATCACCCGATTTACAACGTGATTATTTTTTTTACAAAATGCAGATTTTTTCCTTTTTTAATCGTATCCCATAAACGCAAAAATTTCCGTTTCTTCACCCTCGATTTTTTAAAATAATTGATGGTTTAAAGCTGTTTCTCACACAAAACAGTTTTTTTCTGTTTTTCACTCTAATCATAAACGCATTAAAACTGCTTTCAATTCGCATTGTAGTTTTTGCCATGCAGTTTTGCTTACCGTGCGATAACTTCAAATCATTTTACGATTATTTTCTATTCTTGCTCTTACTTATCGGAATTTATTTTATGATTTCGAACGACTTATAAATAAAATTGTGATACGACTTCAATTGTGATTCGTGATTCTTATTTTCGAATTGATACTCTACCTGATTATTATCTGCTGCATTCATTGGTAATTTAAATTGCCAGACTTTTTTTAAGGGGCTACCCAATATTGTTTTATTTTAATCTTAAATTTGAATTCAGTAAGTAAGACTTTTAAGATAAAGACACTTGCCAGCGAGGAGATTCGGTTTCAAATACCTGCGTTGTCTGGTCATGTAAATTCTGCTCTCGGCTCGCCCTGATCTGTAAATGACAAACAATGCTGATATTTTTTTTACCGAGTTTCTTTTGAAAAATAATAGCATTTTTGTGAAAATAATAGGGTTTATTGTTAAAATAATTGTTTGTTTAAAAAACGGACATCCATTTTTAAATAACGGTATTTTTTCGTGAAATAAACAGTTTTATCCTGGCAACAAAGTTCACAGTTTTCAATTGTTAATGTAACAGTTTATTTTTTACAGTGTAACAACATGAATATTATTTAATAATTTTAACTTTATTTAGCGAATTTTCTAGAAATGTGTACAGTATTCACATGAAGTTTTTAAATACATAGACAGTAAAACTTGTAGCTATCATTTCCAAAATGTAACGTAAATGTCATTTTTTAAAAGTTGTTTTAAATAGTTGACAGTTATTTGTTGGTGATGATTACGTCTGACACTTTTTACCACACCGAGTAAAGACGTCTGTAAAGTGTGTAATGTCATTTACATTTGATGCAATAAAACCGATTTCGACTCTTATACTGTTAGATTTTACACTCTACAGCAATCTTAGACATGTTCGTACTAAACTCTTCTTGTGGTAAAATTTACATTTGCCCTTTTTAATTTAATTCGGCTTCAGCTATTTTTTGCACGATCAAAAAATTATGTAAAAAAAGTCTAACTTATTTAGTAAGTGCTATACCGTGTAACTGTCATTTTTGTAATGTGTCATATAGGTGTTTAAAGAAAAATAATTATATAATAAAAATCGATAAAAAAATTTAGTCTGTAATATTTTATAAAACACATTTGAAAATTAGGCATAAGATTCAGATGTTTTATGTTTTTTATTTCGAATTAAACGGCATAAGAACTATATTATCAATTTAAATAAACAGCTAGAAACCAAAAATAGGTAAAACGGAATTTTAAATATATGTATGTTAGATTAAAATTCCGTTATGCTTATTTTTAGTTTCTAACTTTGTATTTAAATTGTTTACAAAAAACAAATATAATTTTAGTTTCTTTTAGCACTTTTCCATTTTAACTTATTATTTTAAAGTATTATCCTAAAATTTTTATCTTAAAATTTGTTTAAAACAATTTCATACTTTGATTGTACTATATCATCAAGTTGTAAAAGTTAATATTATGTCTATAAATCTAACTATAAAATTTACTATTTGAAGTTATTTTCTTTACTCATAAGTTGCATCCTCATCTTTTTAATGTTAATTTTTTTTGTAAATCCTTCAATAAGTATGCATCTATTTTACGAGGAAATGAAATTGGATAACTAAAATCATATTTTAACGTAGAAAATAAGAACGAAACTATAATCTTTTACGAGAATCGCTTAGAATGCTATTTATTTTTACTGAAATTATACTTTAACTTAAAGTTCCGTCAGAAATTCAGCTTAAAAATTCCGGGAAAAATCCATCTTTGTATTGTAAAGGGATATTCTATATCCATTAATAAGGTAGTTTCAAAAGATTATGTTATCAAACACTCAACTTAATTACCGTCCCTATATTGCTTAAAAGATTAAGGACTTCGCAAACTGACATACTTATTACGTCAAATCGTTACACTGTGCGAATCTATAACCGAATTAAAGTAATTTTCATGTGGGTGCTCAACATTTGAAGACAAGGGTACTCAGTTTAATCAAATTTTTGTATGCAAGACTTATTAATGATCTGTTTCGATTAACCTTGAATAAATATTTTTGAATACTAAAGGAAATCGTTATTAAATGTATAGCAAGTTAAATTTTTCTGGGGCAACGATTTTGAATTGAAACTGCGTAATTTTTGCCATAACAATATTTTAAAACGTTTTTATATTTTAAACTTCGAAAATTTTTAATAACCTCCTTAAATTTTGTAAAATTCAAATAATAAGTAGCCACCCTCATTTTGGAGAGGGTAATACAATATTCTTGCTATACATTCTGTTCATCGAATTGTAGCGACTTTTGGCAAAAGTAAACAAATTAGCCTGGCACTTGGCACTTGGCACTACTTCTGCATGATTGACGCCAAAGCTATAACAAATGACGCTAATGTGACTAATGGTAAGTGAGAAATGAATTGCCGCGTTAGCGAGGAACCGATAAAAGTTGGTAATGTTGCTGATAAACAGCAAACCATTATGTTTATTTTTACTCTTATGTTTATTTTTACTCAGTTCTCACTAAACAGACTATAACTGACTAATTTTTCACTAATTTATTGTTTAATACATTATTGCTTGACTAATTTATTTACTAAAAATAAATAAAATTGAGTAGCAATTTTTTATGTTTTCTTTTACATGCGATTTTTTAACAGATCTTTAATACTTTTGTATTGTTAATTTCAAATTCGCAATCGATATCCCCTCCAAGCTCCAGTTTTTTTTAATGAAATTTTTATTGATCTTTGTCATTAACAAGTCATAATAGGGAAGAGTCCCTAGCTGCGTATGGTGACATTCTTGGGCATGAATTTTTATGTAATTTTAATCTAGATGATGTGCCATAACTCCCCTAGAAGTTTGACGCAACTTTTACGCGACCCCTTGTTATACTATATAGCGTTTTTATACTTGCACATCTTGGCCAAAGAAAAAAAATAGACTATATGTTTTCTCGAATTAGGCAATATCGAGTATTTGCATACATGCTACAAAAATATGCTCCCCAGTGCAATCAATAAATAAATTATCATAAATAAATAATAACGAATTAGAAGATAAACAAACATAGACTGCTTCGCAAGATATGCAGACGCTTTTGTAAATATATCTGCAGATTGCCGCAAATATTATCGATATACACCGAAGAGCCATTACATTATGACCACCCTGCTAATAACTTGTAGGACCACCTTTAGCCCTCAAAACTGCTAGCACCCGCAGTGGTATTGATTCTGATGCCGGTTGTTTTCAG